CCTCCCCTTCCCTCCCCTCTCCCCTCCCCTCCCCTTTCCTGCCCTCCCCTCTCCTCTCTCTCTCCCTCTCTCCCTTTCTTTCCCCCTCAATTTTTTCTGTTTCTCTCACATACACAAGCAGAGAGAGATAGAAATACTGGCATTGATTCAAAGCCAATTCTGTGGTCAGAAATTCCTACAGAAGACCCAACTTTCTATAATTTGCATATTTTTCCTCCCTCTTATGAACTGACATTATCCTACAGAATCAAACCAGAAAGCAAAAAGGACAGTCTGCCTCAACGTCTCCCCGGACTTGATCCTTTCTTAAAATGTCTACCAGTCATCTTCTGCTTAAAGCTTCACTCCAACGTGCACCTTCCATCATGAGAGGTCAGCACGTGGGTTGTTGGACAGCTCCCTAGGACCCTGCCTCCAGGGGGCTGAAGTGCTCCCCTAAGTTTCTGCCCTTCTGGAAGTTCCTTAGAATCAGAGAAACCTCATTCGTTGCTGACCTTTGAAGGAAGCTCTTCCAGCAAGCAAACTGATCTTTCAACGCTGATGGTAAAACCCTCCTGACTTGGTGCCTATCTCCTCACCATTTCCAAAGGTTTCTGTCGCTGGGTGTCCATTTTTATCTGTACTTTAAAAATCCTGCAGACCTAACTAAGCCAGTGGCATTTCAAATGGTATCTCCCTTTCACTAAGACTAATCAGCTCCCTGCACAGTGCATCCTTTTGGGCCGGATCTTCAGGGCTCTGCCAGTTGTACACATGCAGGTGCATTTAAAGATGAATTACTGGATGGTTTTTCCACACCCCTGCCAAAAAACAGAGCATACTCCTCACTTGTGGGATTTAACATGACAAAGCAAATTAGTAAGAAATGTTGAAAATGAGTGGTTCTAAACATTATCTCTTTTCCTTTCTTTTGTTAAATCAACGCTGATGGTAAACACTCTGGCATCACCTCTATCAAGCACAGGAAGAAGGATGCCATTTCCCTGGGTGTGGGCATGAAAGCTAAATCCACAAGCAGACTCCAGGGCTGCCTGGGGGTAGATGAAGCCTGAGTGATATGCCAGCTCACCTCAGAAGCCCTGGACTGCCAATTGCTGCTCTTCAAAATCTTTCTTTTCAATCAGTTCTTCCCTACACCCCCATGTTACTGGCAAAGGAAAGGAGACAGTGAGAAGGAGGAGGAGCTAATCAGAGTGACGGACTGGGTCAGGGCACTTCAAGTTCACAGAATCTTTACACCGAAGGATTATTTTAGGTCTCATCTACCCACTCATATTACAACACAAAGAACTGAAACTCTGGAGGATAAATGACTTGTTCAAGGTCACAAGCTAACAACTGGAATTTCCAGATCCCAGCCAGCAGTGAGCCTCCTATCCACACTAGGGCATTCAGTTTCTCCACCATTCCACCTTCTGAGATCTAGCTTAGTTTCCTTCCTGTCTTGGAAATTTTCCCAGTGTGGCCTGAGTCTACAGAGATGTCTTCCCTTCACTCCCTGATGTCACCTAGAGTACCATTAAGCCCCATGCCCTTTGACATCCCATAACCTTTCAGGGTCATTGCAGGTCACCTAATTCCTACCTGACTTTCCATCTCTCACACTTCCTTTCACTCAAGTAACCGAAGTTCCTGTGGAGAAAGGTTCTTTCAATCAATGATTGTTGTATTTCTTTTTGGGATCCGGCATCATGTCATAAATGTCACCAGCCCTGCAAAGCATTGTCGATACAGGATGCCTGTTCAGCAGCTACCAAAAAGGGACTGAGATTCCAGTTCTAGCTCTGCCATGTACTCAAAGGGTGACCTTGACCATGCACTTCACTTCTCTGAGATGTCCTTGAATGGGTAAAGTGGGAGCAACAGCAATGCCCATCTCAGATGGACTGATCACATCAGGGAGCTCTCACACCACATTCACAAGTCAATAACTATTAACTACTCTTGATCACTTTCAAGGAAATTCACTTGCCAATGCTACTGACTTATAATCAGGGTCTAAAGAAGACAAACAGAAACTTGGGGGATCTTTCACCCCAGAGGGAGTCTTCGCATGACAAAGCAGGCTGGAACATGATACAGAGAGTAGGATCCTAAAGAGGATGAGGCTGGGGGTAAAGTCTTTTAAGTCTAGTTATTACCAAAAAATGCAGCTAATAACTGAAAGAGAGGCAGAGTGGAAGGGGAGGTATGGCAAGGCATGGAGGTGGTTTTGGGGAATGGGACTGGTAGGCAGTATATGCAAAAGCATGTTGAGGTCCCCTAGTTGGTCGTTCAGTAAAATGGTAATTCTACCTTTTTGTTTGTTCTTCCTCCTTTAATGTTAGATGTTTTTTTACCACTGCCAACTCTGGGCCCACAACCCTAAGCATGGCCTAGGGCTTTGGCAGACACCATCACCCCCTAGCGGCAGCTCCACACGGTTCCCCCCACCACACCATTGGCAGGATTTGGCATTTACAGACTGCGTGCCCAGCTGTGGCCTCTGGCACCTCCAAATCCCTTGAACTGGAGAGTTAACTGTGAAGTTTCACCCAGAGCACCCGAAACAAACCGCCAAAGACATTTCAGGTCTGCGGATGGGATGAAGCTGCTAGGGACCCTGAGAAAGATGACCAAACACCACTCAGAGTGCCCCCACCCCCTCCACCACTGCCACAACCACCAAGCCGCACTTCCAGCCCGTGTGGTCCTCACAGAGCTCATTGTGCGCTCCGTGTTTACACGCAAACAGTGGAAGACCAACACAAATAAAAAGCCCACGTCTCCCTACACAGCTCCTGCTACACTCGGCCATCTGGTGACTACCTCGTTAGCCAAATCCCCGCGGGAGTGCCTTGAGCTGCCAGCCCAGGGCGCTGGGGGGAGAAGGAGGCAGGAACCTACTCCCTGCCTGTGTCTAAAGGGCTCAGAGAAGCCAAGGAGAAAGGCACCCCCACTCCTCGGCAGGCAGTCCCCAGCCACCTGGCTCAGCCGCCTGCGTCAGAGAAGCCGGGAGGCTACAAATGGAGGGTGCCTGAGACTCTCAGGCTGATGCACAGGTCCTGGGGGTATTGGACACTTCCAGCTCCTCACTCCACCTGCCCTGGGCTTCCAAGTTACCAGTTCCTCCTGAAAGCCAAAGTTTAAAAAGGCAGAAATTGCCAGCTCCAGGGATTCTGGATTCTGTGGCTGAACTAGGTCTTCGCATCCTTGGGAAATTACAATTATTATATTATGGGGGTCCTCATTTCTAAGTCAAGCCATACATAAGAATGTCTAGAAAGGGGCTCTCCACTAATGACCTCTCAGGGCCCACTTGCGCCCAGAGATCTCAAGGGTGGGAAGAGAAAGATGGGATTGGAAGTGGTGAGGATGGGGATGGGACACCACCGGGACGATCTCTGGCGGAAAGGGACAGGTAACTTCTAACTGGGTGCCAGGGTTCTTTGCCTTAAGGAACTCCATTTCTGCCCTCACCCCTTCTAGGGAGTGGGCACTCCCACAGATGCTAGTGCTAAGGGGTAGTGGTGGTGTGTGAGTGTCGATGACCCTGTGATATGCCTGAGTGTTTCTGAAGCCAGACGCTGCCGCTCGGGAAATCCCCTGGGAACCGGCAAGGCAGTCTCCAGCCTGGCCCCTTTGGGAGCTCAGCAAGCTCAGGTTACAGCCAGCAGGGGAGAAGCCGGGGGCCAGAAACCGGACCCTCCAGCTCAGACCCTAAACGGGCTGGGGCGTGCCCACATCGCCTTGGCAGCCAGTCTGACAGGGAAGGGGGTGGGGGTGTCACAAACACACCTTAACAAATATTATGACTCCCAAGAGAGGAGTCTGGTCTCTTAAGTACCCTTTGGGGGCTTCTAGAGCGAGCGAAGAGTTAACCTCAATGTCTCAAGTCGGGATCCGGAAGGCGCAGACCGAGAAGACCTGTCACCCCGTGGAAGATCAGGATCGCGGAAGAGCTAGAGTCTCCGGAGAGCCCCCAGCGCCTTCCAGGCGCTGTTCTTGGCCAGACTCCGACAACCAATCGCGCCCCGCGCCCCCAAGACGGGAGGGGAGAGCGATCGGCACGCGCGGGAGAGCTAATTTTGGTAAACGCTCTCCGAGATAATTAAGCTATCCACTACCCGGGTGGGAAATCAGCCGCGCTTCCCGCAACTCCACGATGGGCCGGTTCCTCCGGGATTCGCGCTGGGAACCAGCAGGCACCGAGCTGCTGGTGAACTTTCTGATCAACTTTTCAGTTTGCGCCCTCATCCCCAACTTCTCCCTGCCCCCGCCCTTCGCATCTGGCCTTTAAGTTATGATTATTGGCCCGAAGAGTGAGCGAGGACAACCCTGCTCCCCTGGGAGGGGGCTATGAAGGGGACGCAACAACGGATGGAGAGGGACAAGGGGGATCTAAGAGTGGAAACCTGGGCTCTGAATCCCAGTCTTCCGATGTCGCTTGAATCCTCCCCAGCACCGCTTCACAGAAGGCCAAAACCGAGGCCCAGGGTGCGGAAGCGACTTGGCCAAGGTCACCCATCCCGCATGGGAACCGAGAAGCTCCGATTCTCCAGGAAATCTCTCCGAGGAGCATGGCCAACTCCCAGGCGAGAGCGAGGAGGCGGCCACCGCGGTTGGCCAGGGGCCGCGCCCGCAGGAGCGGTGGGCGGCTGGACTCCTTCGGGCTTCGGAGCTGGAGACTACCCTGGCCCCTAGCCCGAGCACACTCTGCGGCCCGGGGTATCGGGCGGCAGGCTGCTCCGGCGGAGCTCAACGTGTGCACCGAGGGACGAAGGGACAGGTCCCCACTGCGGAGCGCTGGCACGCCCCCGGGCTCCCGCCACGCGCTCTCCAGGACCTCCTGCCCACGCTCCTTTCAACCACCTGTATGCCCTCACGGCCCCTCAGCTGCCCTCTCCCAACCCCGCTCGGGGCAGCCCGGGCGGGGATCCCCAGGGCGCCCCCACCCGCCCGGCTTCACTTTGGAGGTCGCGGCTGCCAGGAATCCCGCGTGTGCGGGCGCCCAGCCTTACCCAGGGTGAAGAAGGGCAGCTCGGTGTTGTCCAGGTCGTCCTGCACCGCGATGCGCCCGGGCAGCTCGTTGCGCACAAAGAGCAGGAGGCGCGACTCGGCGGC